TAAGAAACATTTGGGGTGATGGGATTGTGGGATTTGTGTAAATACTAATCTGATAATTAGGGTTAATGTTGGAGATTTTCAACTTGGCAATTTTAATTATCTTGGATGTTCTAGATTTGTAGTTATGGTGTTGCTCTAAGAAAAAAATGATTTAATGAGGTTTGTCCAAGAAAATCTTCTTTGTAGAATTTGTTTATTCTTTTGAACTTTTCTTTCAATCTCTATCCATTTTTGCAGGTGATAATAATGAAGTTAACCTCAAGAATGCTTTCTTCCTACTAAAATTATTAATCAAATACAAATAGAGTCTGAACTTGGCTCGTTAAAGCTCGAAAATAAGATTTTGTGTATAATTTTATAAAATTCGACTCGTTAAGGCTAGAACTCAATTCATTAATATTGATAAACAAGTAAGTTGAGCTCGATTAATGGCTCGCTTGAACTCGAGATTACATCCTTACTCTCCACAAAGGGATGTGACCATGTTATGTGTGTCTTCATGTAATTTATTTCCCTCTAACTCTTTTTGAACATTAAGGTTAGTTACTTTTTGATTTAGATATGTGTCATATGTGTACCCAAATTTAGGACATGGGGACAGAGGTTCTTTATTCCATGACTCAACTTTGATAAAGAAGCTGCAGTAGTTACTGATTTCCCATGTTGCCAACAGTAACTTCCATATGATCTTGCCGGGACTTATGACAGTAAAAGGTTTGCAATTTTTTTAGGACAACATAAAATTATTGAACATAAAATTGCTCTTCCTAAACATCGTTTAACATATCTACATTGATTAATCAATCGAGTTCAAATAATGTTGGACTTTTGTAAACCTATGTAAATAGGTTGGCCATAAATTATGTTGAGGCTTAAACAAACTAGAGAACCTAATCCTAATGGATTAGCTTTCTTTCTAAATAGATCTAAAAAGAAAAAGAAAAAGATATCAAAATCCAAATATAACCACACTATCTATAAAGTAAGCTCAAACAAGAGTGGTATAAACGTGATTAGATTTGCTATGAAGCCTTAGTTGACACAATTATGAAATCATTTACAATTATTTATAAATGATATATGTATTGACAAGTGCTCTAAAATAACTATACTTAGATAATGTGCCAACACATCTAACTTATAGATGAATGGCTTCAGAGAATTTTTGTAAAAATTTTATGCAATTTTCTATAGATCTAACTTGTTAATATTTATTAATGAACTGAGCTTGCTCGAGTAGATAAAAGCTTGAGACTGAGCTCGAATATAAAAAACTCAACCCAACTGATTTACACGTAAAAGGATTTAATTTTGGTGAGTAGTGAGCTTGCAATTACAATAATGTAGGGATCGAGCCTTGGCGGTCCCCCACACAGCCTCCAATTTTGTTATCTGATAATTTGTAAATTGCAAATTTGTCCCCATCAGTTTTAAATGTTGTTTGTATACTTGCATTTGTCTATATATATTTTTGTGTGAGTGAAGTGATGAGGACGATAATTGTTACGCGAGGGGTCTTGGAAAATTGTTTTTTATAAATGTGAGGATGGTATGGCTCAATAAACATTCACTTTTCTAACTTACATTTCAAATGACTAATCAGTTTATGACCGTGTCTTCATATATTTTTATCACTACGTCAATATGTTGACATTTTTTTTTTTTTTGTTATATCCATAACAAATTATATTCACTTTTCTATATACTAGGAAAAATGTAGGGTGCAATTAAATAATGATTCGATATATGTATGATTAAATGTAATAACTGAAGTTGATATATATGTAAAAAATAATAATGGTTGGTGATTATAAATATGTGAGTTGCTCAAGCCCAACAGACAAAATTGGGCCTAATACTCAGCTGGTATAGTACAAGCCATTCAATGGCCCAAATATGGTTCAACTAGCCCAACAGACAGTGACTGGACCCAACTTCCTAATTGGATTAAATGAAAGGACATAAAGTTACTCAACAGAATGTCCATTGTCCAATGTGTACAAAAACAAATGCATGCAGCATGGTGGCTGAGGTTTGATCCTCACATGTAGCAGTTAAAAATGGGATCATAATATCATATACAAATGTTCATATTTTTGCTGGAATATACGAGACAATGCAGTCAAAGTCAAACAGTGTTAAAAAAAATTAATCCTCACTTGCAAGCAGATCTTGTTTTGGAGCGCCAAATGCAGCTTCAATGGAACAATCATTAGTAGAAAAAAGACACATTACACTTTCCGATCGATCGACCACACTACATTTTAACAACATCATAAAATCTCCAAAATAAGAGAACCAAGCAAATCAAATCACCTGGATACAATGTTGAAGAATATAGAAACAACATAGATATACTTCTTATCAAATTAAGTATTTCCAAAGATTAAAGCAAATTTAGTACATACATAGTTCAACCAGTGGTCTAGCTGTGTTAAAAATTTACAGCAGTCGATCGTTATATATATGATACACGTAGTGCAATTTTTATTGATCTCTGCTTACTGCACATGCTTATGCTTAGATAAAAAGAACTTTATAAGAGTTAAATTAATTTTTTACAGTATCATAATAATATAACAATACCAAAGCAGAACAAGAAAATTTAAATCCAAAACTACTCCAGTCCTGGGCCAAGCCAACAAGCCATTTCCTTTGGACCTATTTATGGACGTTAGTATATGAAGCAGACTATATATTTAGTAAATATATCGATTTTATTATGGAGTCAATAGTTGAATTTTTTTTAGTTGTCACCTAAGATGTTATTCATATATGTTGTTGGTTTTGTAAAAAAGCCAACTATTGACTTTATAGCAAAACTGTTAAATTAAATTTACTACATAACAAAGATAACTATTTAAAAAAAAGAATATTTTTCTCTTCATAAATATAAAAATTTTGTTTTTGAAAGATCTCAATACCTTTTGCAAAATTAATATTAATACTAAAATTATGAAACTGGCAACACGGCCACATCACGCTTGCAAAGTAAAAACAATCTTAGCCGTCCATCGCCCATAGCCCTCCCACTATCAAAACCTACCGCCTCACAGGCCGCAGACCACAGTAATTCGCAAAGTCCAACACACTCCATATTCAAAGTCCACAGCCAAATTTTAATCGTATATCATCTTTATTTTTATTTTGTTTTTATATATTTTGCCAAAATTCTTCTAAATAAATTAGAAAAAGCCGTGGAAATTTTTATTTTTCCTTTTTTCATTTCCCTTTATAATAATTAATTATATTATTTTTTCGCCGGATATATTTTAGCCGGAGAAGAATCGATGAATACATAGCCGTGTACGTATTTTTCCCGGATCTGAGACTCGTCGGAGCTTGCCGGCGCTTAAACCCGAACACGTGTTTTTTCTGCATCCTGGTTGAAAACCCTAAAGCGCCTCTACTTTTCCTTTATCGGTCCTCAGATCTTTCAGTCTGCAGCACGCGGAGGCTGTGGAATATTGTTGCCTTATCGTCGTCTTGACTGTAGAAGAGATTTTTCCGTTGGTGAGTTCTATTGTGGGCTGCGCGTTTGAATATCTTTT